TTGTATGGCGAGTTAGAGTCGATTACCAAGAGCTCCGTGTTGATTGTGAAAGGCCTAGTAGTGACCGACAGAGTGATCTTCCCTAGTGGCAGAGCGAACAATCCATTGAACCCAATTAGGGGTTTCTTGACAATGGTGAGATCCTTGGATCCAAGTCCCATTCACTTTAATACATCGAGATACATCATCTCTGAGGAGCTCCCCGAGTCTACCAGGACCCTCTTGACATTGAAACCCCAAATCTGTAAAGTTATGATCAAGGCATCCTTATGAAGGAGGACCATACTTGCCAAGTCAGCATTCGATAAGGTGATTCCTCCTTGATCAGTCTGGGGTTTCTTACTTGGCTGGCCCTCATCATTATCTTTCACCTTTCTAGCGAAGACTACCCTCTTCAAGTCGGACTTGAGAGAGTTGGTTGTCGGCCGCTCTAGGGGAAGATGTAGATGACGTCAATGATGTTACTGCGGATGGCGGTGTGTGCCTCCCTCGGTGGCTCCTCCTTAATGTACTCCTTGAGATATCCCTCCTGCACCGACTTCTCTAAGAAGAATTTATACACTCGACAATCCTCGGTAAATGCCCCACATCCATGTGATCCGAACACCTTGCATTCTGGTTCTTGGTGGACGAATCACCCTGCATCTTGGGTGACCACTTAAAGAAGTGCTCCTTCTTGATCTTATGAGACAACTTGTAAATGGGATCTTTGAATAAGGTGTGGGTCTCTCTAAAAGAGTTCCCTGACACAGGGATCAGACTTTTCCTAGGAGGATTTCTCTCCTTCTTCTTATACTTTTTCTTTGGGGCCAAGTTTTTCCCTTTATTTCCGACTAACTCATCTTCTACCCTGGAGTATTTGTTGATTCAGGCTATCAACTTGCCCATGTCCACCGGCGTCCATTTTGTCAACGACCTGTACAGATCCGTGTCTTGAGATAGGCCAAGTCTGAAAGAAGCCGCAGCTATGACCTCAGAGCATCCTTCCACCTCGTTTACCTCCTTCCAATAACGAGTGGCATATTGACGGAGTGTTTCCCCTCCCTCTAATGGAGGGTCAACAATGATCCGACATCCTTAGGGCATTTGTTCCCCGTGATGATCCGCGCGGAGAACTGTCTGGTCAGCTTCTTCTAGGATCCTATGCTCTTTGGCAGGAGGGTCTTGAACCACTTCATAGTTGTATCGCCTAGGCTCATTGAGAACACACGATATAAAAATCTATGATTTGAGTGATATAGGGACATCATCTGCTTGTACTACTGGAGATGAGCCTCCTAATTGGAATGTCTGTCATAAACTTTGAATTGTGGTACCACAAACTTCTTTTGTATCTCCATCTCCATGATGCTCTTGGTGAATGGTGACAAAATGACTTTGTCATCCGTGTCGCCCTCGGGGGTGGACTTGTCCATCCTCATGGTGTCCAACTTGGACCTGAGGTCTCCCCATCCTTGTGGTGTTTACCATCACGGCGTGCCCCTCGGCTCCTTTGTTCTTCAAGGAGAGGGTTGACCCCCTCCTCAGACTCCTCCGCGCCCCCTCGTCCCCTCGTCTGAATACTCTCCGGCGGAGGTCGTTCCAAGCCAAAGGTTTAGCCCTCTTGGTCGAGACCTCTAGGTCTTGTCCATTGGCCCTTGGAAGTTTCGGAGCCTTGGAACCCCTTGCTTCGCCACTAAGACAATTCCTTAAGTCGCTGGGTCCCACCTCTTTGACGGAGGGTTCCTTAGATGGTCTTAAGTCTCGAGATCCTCCACCGAAAAATGCAAACTCATCGAGTTTATTAAGAACATTCATCTTATTTTTCTCTATCTGCCTTAACCAATCCCCCAACCGTTCTTCGATGAGATCACAAGTTGACACGCTAAGGGGCCATCCTTTTCGCCCACAAGACTCAGTTCAATTTGGTGGGTTCTCTCTTTAGAATAGATTCAAAACTCTTTGTTGAAGCTGTCAATGTGATCCTCCGTTCTCGATATGAAAGGAGTTGGTACGTCTACGTTCCTTTACTGAGGACCTTTTCCTTTCAAACGCGTATTCACCATGGCCACTGTCTCAAGAAAACTTGGTCATTTCCCAAAGATGGCACTAAATTGTGCACGATGAGTTTTACATAATTTATGAATAGATAGATCTCTCCCTTGGCGGATATGATTTTTACTTGGAAATTCGATGGTCTTGTGGCAAACGGATGTGAGAGATGATATAAAGAGTGGTGATGAATTACTTTTTCAGTGGTCCAAACGACCCAGACATATCAAGATGAACTCTATCACTCAAAAAGAGATGTTAGAAGGGTGCCGAAGTATTTTTTGGCGTGATCCCTTCTGCGATGAAGTCAATATGTGAGAGAGAGGTAGGAAAAACTGTGTTATTGTTTGGGTGAGAATGTGCGTACCTTTGTTTCGAGTTTGTGAGAGCTATTTGTACTTTCGTTGAGCTAATCATTACAGACATGTGAGTCCCTTGGGAGGAAGTCCCCTTATTGGTCCATATGGAAGGTGATTTGTGGAGTACATTCCTTGGACAGAGTGTCTTCCTTGTCATGTGGAAAGAAGTTTTTGCATTTAATGCTTGGATCTCCCAATATTTAATGTTCTTCTGAGATTTGCCGAGTAATAAATATGTTTAATCTTTCTGAAGGGTCATTTAATGTTTCCTTGTGGTAGCTGCTTACGCGTAGGGGCACTTTTGTCCATTGCCTCCCAAGCTTCCAAGTTACGACAACCATCGAAATTGCTATTCATACTCCACCGGCGTGGAAGACTATGTGCCGAGGTGACGTCTTTGGTGAAGGTCCCTCGGGGCAGAACATAAGCCGAGGGCACGTGTCACCCTGGCAACGCTTCGGGTTACCAACGTCAAGGACACGCGTCAGTCGCAGAGAGCTCCAAGGAATTCATACTAAGGACACGTGTCAATGTACACGGTGTCCGGGGTACCTTCTTGCCAAGGCCATGTGTCGCTCCCAGAGCGATCGGAGGGTTACTCATGCTAAGGACATGTGTCGGCTCCTAGTTAACTCACAAAAAATATCCCATCAGTTTGGTATTAGATTTAATTAATGGATCTCATTTTTTGCCAAAGATGTCGATATCGAAGTGGATTCGCTGGAACCCTCCCAATGACGATGTGCTAAAGTTTAATATAGATGGTCCTTGTAAGGGAAATCCGGGATTGTCTGGTGGAGGTATGATTTTGCGAAATCATAGTGGTGAAATTATCTTTGCAGCTTCCAACTTTTATGGGTTTTGTACAAAATGCAAGCCTTAATAGATGCTTTGAAAATCATACTTGAGATGGGCTTGTCAGACTATAAGTTTGAGATAGAATCAGATTCTAAGATCCATGTAGATATGGTGAATCAAGGAGTAATGCCCAATAACCCAAAAAAAAAAAAGAATTTACAGAAGTTGAACTGCTCTATTGAAATAGAATTAAGAGAAACAAGCTAAGTTGTTTGAAACATGGATAGTGGAGGAGAATGTTTTCTTTCTTCCTTTATATTGAAGAACTAACTGCAACAACAAAAACTTAACACTACTGAATTGTTTTAAGACTAAATTGATAGAGATATTCACTTGCAGTGGCGAAAACTTTGTACATTAGATGGACTGCCCTTTTATATTGATCCCAGACGTTTCAACATATGTTGCCTTGGGATGGCTCATGGCAGTAAAGGAAATTCTATTATAGTCCGTTTGAAAAAATAAAACGATGAAAGTTAAAAAGATATAAAGTTGGAAGAATAAATAAAGATTACGTTTGGTAAGGAAATAAATAAGAAGGATAGAAAAGTGGATAAATTAACTTTTCTTTCAACTCACCAAAATCAATCCCTCCAAAATTGATAGGATAGTGAATGAAAAGTTAATTATTTGTGTTGAAATGTATCTTATTCGTATATATATTTAAAAAATTTTAAAAATAAATTTTAAAATAAAAAATACAAATAAAAAATAAAAAATTAAATAATTTTTTTTTTCCATTTTAATTAGGGGTGAAAATTTTCGACTCAACACGATGACACGACTCGAACTCAACACAAATTTTATGACACGAACTTGATTATAACTTGATACGAACTTAAAAATGACCTGACACGCAAACAAAAAATATAAAAGACTTATATTCAATTCTATTAGTCAAACTCAAAATTGACACCATCAACCCGTTTATTTAAAAATAAACACTTTCTCTATTTTCTTGTTTGTATGGTAACACGAAATCAACATGTTTAACTAATATTGTAAACATAAAATGTTAATTATTTGTAACTATTTATTAAAGACTAATATAATTATTATATAAAAAAATATATTTTTAGTTCTTATTATTATATTTATTGAAGTTAATTTTTAGTTTGTAGAAAAAATATTAACATGGATTCAATTAAGTGAAAATAAAATATTAGCGTTAAATTTTTTATTGAAAGTTTATGTAGGTAAACACGAATACGAATACAAAAACGACACAAAAATAAACAGGTCAACTCGCAACTCGATACAACATAATTAATTAAATGAGTTGAGTTATGTTTGATTAATGTTCGACAAAAATCTGTAATAATTCAACACGAATCTGACACGACATGAGTCGATTGTTACCCATAATCTTAGCTAGTAAAAAAAAAAAAAATAGTAATTTTTATTTTCAATCCATCCAACCAAACATAAAAGAAGAAAAATGTATCATTCCTACTTTCTATCATTGAAAGATAAAAAATATAACCCTCTTACTTTTCATTCTTCTTACCGTCCCTATGTACCAAACAAAACATTATGGAAGAGGTATTAACTATTATCACTTCATCAAGAAGACACTTAAACCAGAATTGGATTATCCTAAAGAAGCAACAAAGTGGATCAAATGCTTGGGCAAGCCAGCAATCGGCTTTAAGACAAAAGTATGATTCAATTTCCAAAATAAACAAGTCCCATCATGCATCCAAATTTACATAAGCTGATAGATCAACAAAAAAACAACTGCACACTACTCATTCACAGATCAAATTTCCATTGGTACACAAACTTACGAAAAGTAAATTAAGAAACACGCTGATCTTTGCGAATCGAAATAAAGGAACTTTACTGTAATACCTTGTGCCAAACTATTACAAACATTGCATTACCAAAACCTTTTCATCCATGAATTTTCTTCTTCTGCAAACAAAAACCATCCAGAAACAGACAATGGAAGAAGCAGAATGAGTACTATTGCTAGTTATACAAAATGCAAGTGAGACTAAACAAATTGAGATACTTAACAAATTCTGTTGTATAGGTTCTTACATTTCCTCCTGCATGTTCACCTCTCAAATCATTGGATTTGCGAGGTGCCACCACACTTTTTCGATTATAATTAGGCTTCCCACCTGATCCTTTTGGTGGAGGAAAGGAAGAGTGGGTCTTTGGACCTGTATAATCAATGTCATAGATCCCAGAATCCATATTTGACACATCCAATCTCCCTGTGTAGAAACACCAATTTCTTGTTCAATAAACATGTAATATCCTCTGTGTGTGTGTGTGTGAGAGAGAGAGAGAGAGAGAAGAAATACAAGTTTTGAGGATGCAAACCTCTAGAAAGACAAGGCAAGGCAATGAGGAAGATTAGAAAAAAGGCAACAATGGCAGGCTTGAATTCCATGGCCTTCATCCAGATCAAGAACTTAGTTGAAGGAAAGCTTCCTTCTTTTGGTGGGTCTAATGGAGGTGAGAAGGGTTGGGTACTATGTCATGGGGGTTTCAAGGAAGAAGAAAGCTGAATCTGCGCAACTTTCAGGCAATTGAAACTGTCAGCATCGATACAGCAATTAGTTGCAAGGTCCTGATGTGTTGGCCTGGTTGGAACATTTATGTAGTGTTAGTACGATACCTCTCAACTTTGGGGTAATTAGATTTTTCCTTTGGGTAATTAATTTTACCTCTTGGTCCCGCTAGTAAGTATATCATTGAAAATGTACGATAGAGGCATCCCATGCAGCATATTTAGGCTCTAGTCATTATCGCATTTGGATATGCTAAAGTTCCGCATTGGTCAAGCATGGATTTTTGTTTATCGCTTACTCGAATCAAAATACGTCTGTCGTAGTTCGAGTGGGATCCGCTGTTGGGTCACTTTTATCAAGACGAGGTTCTTTTTCGTAGAACACTTTAATAATTGGGTGTTTTGGGTCCTATGACCCACTTATTTTTCTGTTTTTCATTATTTTATTTTTAGTCCAAACAACATAATTAAAATATTCTACACACATTATTTTGTATTGGACTAAAAAGAAAATAATGTCACAAAAATAATTTTTTCCAGACCTATATATTGGGTTTGGGTTTATGGGTAAGTGGGCACATTTCATCAAAGATTGTTGTTGGCCTGTAAATCTGTGTAGGGAATTGAATGCACTACAACAGGGGGACTGGTAGAGAGGTGAAAATTTTTTTCTATCCTATTTTCCTTTTCACCCTATTTTCTACCCTACCAAACAAAACATTAAGTGTAAAGTTGGTGGTGAGCAAAGCTCCACACGTACGTTGCCAGGCTGACTGGAATTTTCCATTTATAAACACTTTATTAAGTGCAACCAACTAACTTTTATTTATCCTACTTACCTAAAAATGATGGAATTAATAGGTGTGGGATTCATTTTAATGGATTCGAGAGGTGCATGTACAGTGGACTTGCCGACACAAACAAGATATAGGTGCAGGATATTGGCAATGTATAAAAGCAAGCTATAATGTATAAGATTCCCGTCACTTCTAGTTTAATTTCTATTAATAAAAAATAGTCTAAGAAAGAAGGATATAAACATTTGAAATTGAAGCAAAAAGAGACAGAAATATCGACTAATCAAAATGGCTAGATATCCCACTAAAAGAATGACATTCATAAACCCATCTATAACTATGTGATTAATTATTTCTTGTATATGTAATAATTAGAAACAAGAAATGAAAACCCTCAAAATTATGGTTGTAACATCCTGCTGCTGGTGTTTGAAGACCACATGCCCTTATGGTTTCCTTAAATGGATGTCTTCATAGATTCAGCATCCACTGTTAATGGCGGCTTCTGTCTGATTGGGGATTCTAGGAATGAGTCACAAGATTGTTAACCCCGATGTGTAGTTCAAGTAAACTGTACGCTCACAAGTTTTGAGTTCGAATCTTAATAATATTATGAGGTTAGATAATGAGAAATTTATTTTTCATGAATACTCTAATCTTGATGTGAATTATCTGTCTTTATTCGAATTAAAAAGAGAATTAGTTGAGGTACGCATAAATTTACTCGAACATCTTTGACCGTAGAAAAAAAAATGGTGAGATATAAAGACGACGGATCCAATCTTCTCATGAGATATAAAGACAACCAACTAATCCATTGTCTCTTCTCCTTATTTTGTTCCAATCTTCTCACCCAAACCAAAGACCCATCATACTTTATCTAAAGACGACGGGTCCTTTTTTTTTTTTTTTTTTTTAAATTCTTATTAAACAATTGAAGCTTCTGGCCTTTGTTTTCAGTTCACCTGGTCCCTCTCCATCAAATCCCTACGAGGTTGTATGCGTGTGTGTGGCCTTCACTTCCAATATCATTGGTCAAAGAATTACTCCCACCAACACCAATGACACTATCTTTGTACAAGTATTCACATTATTTTCTAGTATATCCCCTTTTGATTTATTTGACATAATTCTATTAATTTTATTGGGTATATTTTTTATTCATTGTATTGGATAGTATTCTGGCACTATATGTACATATCAATGGTCACGCCTCCCCAAGTAAACGCATCATCTACAATCTTGTGTGTTCCATTTTAGTTCTGCATGTGTCTTCTTTTATATGTCATTGTCATCTCATCTTTCCATGATTTTTTTTTTGTTATTTTGGTTGATTAATTGGATGTTAAAGTTTAACTAACCGCAGAATTGGAGGCTTCGTCTGTTGGACTAGACCAGGGTACTTTGGGCTTCATTGTGGATGAAAAATGGTGAGATATAGTTGTATTTTATTGTCATATATGAATACACATAGATGCATGCGTGTGTGTATTCTTAGTGAATCCTTTTTTTTTTTTTTAACTTATTGACCATTTATATTTGTTTCTGTTTTAGTTCTAAAGATTGATTTATACAACAACAAAGGATTATGGAGTTTGTGTTTTGGAGTCTAGACCAGTGTTTTAAAACCCGGTCCGGCCCGGCGGGTTGACCCGGTGAACCGGTCCCCTAACCGGGCCGGTTTTGTAATTAGACCGTTTGAGTAAAGAACCGGTCAAAAAATCGGTGAATCGGTCAAAAAACCGGTAATCCGTGAAAATCGGACCGGGTTTACAAAATCGGCCGGTTTTGTTCCTTTAGTATAAATATGTTTTTTTTTTAATATTTTTGTGTCTTTTTCTTTTCCCCTTCTGTCTTGCCCTAAATCCTAAATCATTCGTTCAGTGTTTGTTAACTCAAAAATTAAGTGAATGCAATTAAGTGATTCAAGTTTGAGGGTGGAGGCTGAGCTGTTAATTGAATGCATTGGTTTGTTAATTAAATGCAGTTAAGTGATTCAGGCTTGATAACTTTGTTTGATTTAATATATATTAAACATGTTATTTTTATAACTATTTTAATTTTTTAGTCTATTTATCATCATTAATAATTATTTTTTATTTTTTTATTTTGTCACCGGTTTGACCAGTGACCCAGTGGTTGAACCAGAAATCCATTGACCCGGTCCTTTCTCCGGGTTGGTGTCCGGGCCGGATTTTAAAACTATGGTCTAGACTAATACTACAGCCGTATTTTTAAAGAAGATTTTCATTGGTTAGAACACCTTAGTTGCCAAAAATACGTGGGCAGGTAGTTATTACAAATCGGCATTATGAGTTGATTAAAATAGGGATTAGTCCATTTGTGAAGCGAATGAAGGTGCCTCATAAGTTTTCACCGACAGTTTTTTGTGCTTTTCCTTCTTGAACTTCGGACTACCCTGTGGATGAAAAGTAGGTTTAAGAATTATCATTTGAGTACTTTATTCCAACTTACATGTTAATATGCAATTTTATGGTAATTGAGAATGGTGATAGATAGCTATAATAGCTCTGAGTGGATACCAATTTATTGTATGTGAATTCCTAGAAATTATTGCAAGCATACTCGAATAGTGGAAGGTTTTCATTGATAAGTATTTGGAAGCAAATGCTAATGATGCATTTTTCGGTTACTATAAAAAAAAAGAATTCGGTTACTATACATTATCAACAGTTGAGTGGTATGTCTTACTACACATTTAATGGTTGTACTCAATAACCTACAAAAGGCATTGAGTAAGATCAATTTCACTATAGTAGAACACTTGACCAGAGGTTTTGCCATCATTTTAGGTGGAAGATTACTAACATAAGTTTAAATATTTATGAAAGAAATATAGATTTGTGTGAAGTGGCTAGCCGAATGGAATCTTTTGGGGTAATGAATTTTATTTATCTTATGACGTATTGAAAGCAAGGAGAGAAAGATTTTTATTAAGAGTTATTGTGAGGAAGTTAATGTTTGATGTTATGACCAATATGCCTTTAGTTCAATGACACTTCTTATTTTGTGAAGACTTTGTTTTATTGAGATCAAGGGGTTCAAGTCTTCATCTCTCTCCCCCTCAAAAAATATGTTCGATGTTGTGGGATTTTAGTGCTTATTTTTTGAGCTAATATAATTGGTCTGCAAAATTGAGTTTTATTTCTTTTAATATAGGTTAAAATTTGATGGAGCCATAGCCTAATTTGACCCAAACCCTTCCTCTAATTCTAGCTATCTCTTTCTTTCTTTGCATTTCAGTCTCTCTTTGTTTTCTCTTTCCCTATCCACTATAGGACCAAATCCATTGAGGCTCATTTATGTTTGTTTGATAGAATAATTTTCATTGAATGTAGTTTTTGTTCCTAGCTATTGATGCAAAACTGAAATTTGTTAGTTTGCTCATTTATTTATCTTTTGCTTCTCCATACATCCCAAGTTATATTCTCAAGTTGCTCTAATATTGAAAAATAAACTTAAAAATGAAAAGAAAAAAAATTATAACACAATGATTTATGTGCAATGCACGTGTGCACTAACTAGTACAAGAAGGTTGTGTTTCTTTTATTTCATTTAGCATCACATACTTAATATATCAATTATAATATATCAATTGAAATTGAAACATAATCCATTATAATAGAGTTTTGGCATCTCTTATTTAATTTACCCAACCCAGTGCACACCCATTTTGGGCGTGAGATGTATGCGTAGATTAATGAGATAAGATATTAGAATTTAATTTGAAAATCTAACATACAGTCAAATTTGATCAGACCCGTAAGAATCCCCATATCAAAATAGTTAGGTTACTTCAAATCAATAATAGAATACACCCAATAATGAGATCGACTACAAACCATACAACAATAATGAATTAGATAAAAAATTGACCAGTAATCATACAACAATAATAAATTAGATCATACAACTGTATTCTCACTTAGATTTTGCATCATCTTGGCCTTTAGATCTTTGGCTTATAAGCTCCTCTCTTCTGCTGTCAAGCAGATCGACCATGAACTTCTCTTTCCTCTCTCTGTGCATCCAAAGTTCATCGCGTGACCAAGAAAAAATTGTAAAATTAGTATGACAGACACACCCGAAAGTGTATGTTGCTAAGAGCATTTTCAATTATGACTCAAATTTAAATTTGAGTCTAAATGGTCTAAAAAGCCTCTCCAATCTTGGACCCAAACTTGTATCAAATTAAGAAAAAAACTTTTTCTGGA